CGCAGGACTCGGGCAGCGCCCGGAAGGATTCGGTGGCCAGCGCCACTGACACGGACCCAGCCAAATCCCGGCTCTCGTCCAACTTGTGACCTTTGCTCCCTGCCAGCCGGGCCGGGGCGTGGGGGGAGACTGCGTGAGCTGCCCCCGGCTCGCTCCTGGAAGACGAGGGGTCAACGGGCCTCGGCGCCCAGCCCCGATGGACACCGGAAGAGGCCAAAGGGGAGTCGGGGAGGGTGGGGGAGCACGGACGGAGCCCCCCACGCCCCGTCCCACGCCGGGCAGGGCAGCCTGGCCCCGCTCCATCTTCTCTGACCAAAGCGCGGCCCCCATCTCTCCTGCTGCTAGCGTGAAGAGCCTTGTCCCCGCGCCCCTCCTGACTGCACCATAGAAGCCATAGCTAATTAATCTTGCGACGATCCAATATGTATATTATATATATATATATGTATCAAGGCCTGGCGAGGGGGCACGGTGCGTGCATTGGGCACCCTGCGGCACAGAGAGACCCCCCTGCCCCCACGGCGGGGTGGGGGGTAGAGGAGGGGGTCTGGGCCCTTGCTGGCTCTGCCACGCTTCCTGCCCACGCCCGTGCCCCCCAACCTGCCAGAGGTGCCCGGCGTGAGCTCGGGGCTGCCCTCGCTGCGTGAGCGGGGGGCTGCCAGGCTGCCCCCCCCCCTTCGCCAGCAGGGAGAGCGAGGGCCTGGGAGCCAGGATTGCTGGGGTCCCTCGCCCGGCTCTGCCTCTCACGGGCCGTGCGACTTCGGGTGAGTCTCTGTGCCTCGGTTTGCCCATCTGTGAAATGGGTGTGATAATGCTGCAGTACTACCTGGGGCAGGTGCGAGCCTCGCTGGTGAGGGGAGCATGTTGGGGGCCACGGGAGGGATGAAGGTGAAGTATTATTATTCCTCTCCCCTTGACGGGGCGCGGTTGGCTTTGTGCCGGCAGCCCAGCAACCCCTGAAGGAGCCCATGCCGGGGGGAGCTGTGGTCGCAGGGGGTCCTCTGGGTGCTGGGGGGGGGACCACAGTCTGCTCCTCCGTCCCTGGTGCCCTCCCAGCTGGAGGTGTGGGTGCACTGGGAGGGACCTCCACAGCCTGCCCCTGCCCGTCTGTCTGTCCTTTAAGGCGCGGTACGGACGGGGACAGCTCCCACCACCCTCAGAGCTGCAATAATGAAGGCAGGGCCAAATCCTGATCCTGCAAGTGAATGGGGCGAGGTGTGTGTGTGCGCGCGTGGT